TCTTATAGGGTTTATACTAAGTACAATATTGTACAACTGTAACAATTCAACTGTAAACCTAAAAATTACAGCCAGTTTTGAAAGAGATGCATCTTAGCTCTGGAAATTGTTATTGAATATGTCAATGCTGATGTAATGAAATGCTTCTTCTAAGTATGTGGTTATTAAATAAATAATTTAAAAAAGGGCTTTCAAGTAAAAGCTTATGAAAAAAATTAAAAATAAAAATTAAAAAAGTTTTCACTTACAAGTGGGGTTGTATGGTCTTTGTTCTTCTGTGTCTTTCTTCTCTCACTGTAACACTTTCAGTATTTTCCATGTTGTGATAAATGCAAGAACCTCCTTCATTTTAATATATGTGTTAATATACATAATTTTTATTTTATTTTATTTTTTGGTATTTTTGAGACAGGGTCTCCCTGTAGCCCCAGCTGACCTGGAATGTGATATGTAGACTAGGCTGGCCTTGAACTCAGAGATCCTGCCTCCGGAGTGCTGGGACTAAAGGTCTGCACCATCATACCCAGCTTATAATTTTTATTTTATGTATATGAACATTTTGCCTGCATGATGTAGGTGTACCACATGTGTGCAATGTTTTCTAAAGCCAGAATAGGGCATTGGATCCCCTGGAACGGGAGTTATTGTTGGTTGTTAGCCGCCATGTGAGTGATTTGTTTTTTGCAAGAGCAACAAGTGCTCTTAACTGCTAAGCCATCTCTCTAGACCCCCCCCCATTCATTTTTAAAGCTGAACAGTAGTTCAATGTGTGTGTACTTACATATGTGCTACCTTTTCTTTATCCATTTGTCTGTTGATGGACACTGGTTTTCCTTGTCTTGGTTATGGTGAATAATGCTGCAATGAACACAGGAATGCAGGACTCTTTATAAGTTGGTGTTTGTATTTCCTTTGGGTATATGCCCAGTAGAGGGATTCCTGGTCATAGGGTAGTTATATGTTTATTTTATTAACTGATTTAAATAAGTATAATTTTTGATTTGTTTATTTTTATTTTATGTGTATGGGTGTTTTGCTTGCATGTATGTAAGTGTACCCGTGTCATCCAATACCTGCAGAGGCCAAAAGAGAGTATGAGAGCCCTTGGAATTGGAGTTACAGATGGTTGTTAGCCACCATGTGAGTGCTGGGAACCAAACTGGGGTCCTCTGCAAGAGCAGTCAATAATCTTAATCACTGAGCCATCTCTCCAGCTTTTTTTTTTTTTGAGACAGAGTCGCACTGTGTAGCCCTGGTTAACCTGGAATTCACTATGTGGATCAGGTTGGCCTGGAACTCACAGAGATTTATTTACCTCTGGCTCCCAAGAGCTGGGATTAAAGGCATACACCACCATGCCTGGCCTAATTAACAATAATTTAAATGAATTAATTTGTGTGTATGGTACAGGTATGTGCATGTGTTCATGCAGGTGCACATGTATGGATGTAGGTATGTATGAATGTGCGTGCATGTGTGTGGAGGCCAGAGGTCAAACATCAGATGCTTTCCTTAATAGTTTTTCCCCACCTTTAAAAAATATTTTTATTTATGTGTATGCATGTGCATCTGTGTGTATGCACACACATGCCTGAGGAGAGTCTTGGATCTCCTGGCACTTGAATTACAAGCAGTTGAGCCACTGGACCTGTGTGCGGGGAATCTGAACTCTTGTCCTCAAGATTGGACAGCAAGTGCTCTTAACTTGCTGAGCAATCTGTCCAGCTCCCACTTTACCTTTTTAAAGCAAGATCTCTCACTTAACCTACAACTCGTCAATTCAGCTGGGCTGACCACTCAATGAGCTTGGGGTATCTGCCTGATACTGCCTCCTCCCAGTGCTGGGAGCTGCATGGACCACACCCTGCTTTTAACTGGGTGCTGGGAGCTCAGGTCCTATACACGTGTGGTAGGCGCTTTACTAACCGAGTCATTTCTTCAGCCCCTATTTTTGCTGTTTTTAAATTTTTACTTTTGTTTTGTTGAGACTGGACTTGCTATATGGCCCAGATTCACCTTGAACTCATGATCCTCCTTTACCAGTGTATCTGGCTAATTTTCTTTTCTTTTTCTTTCTTTCTTTTTCTTTCTTTCTTTTTTTTGAGAAATTGTTAAAGAATAAACAAAAGGTATTCTATTTAAAAATCTCACTAAATATGAATGACATACCTGTGCTATAGACAGGTATCGGTTTTCTAGATGCTGAGAGGAAAAAACTTAGAGGCTGAGTTCAACAGGAAAGAAGGAGTGAGTGATTAGTCAAGTCTGCTGTGGGTACTGGGATAGAAATAGTGGTGTATTTGTTAAATACTTGTGTTCCTCAGGAGAGATGGTTCAGTGGTTAAGAGCACTGGCTGCTCTTGCAGAGGATTGAGATTCATTTCCCAGCACCCACATGGTGGCTAACAGTGTGTAACTCCAGTTCCAGGAGACCTCACACTCTCTTCTGTCTCTGTGGGCACTGAACAAGGGTACACTTACATACATGCAGGAAAAACATGCATACACATAAAATAAAACTATACAAATTTTTGAAAAATTAAAAGTATTGTGTTCCTATAATGAGCTGATCTCCAGCATGTAGTTTTTTTAATTGAATTTTTGAGAATTTCATACAATATATTTTGATTATGTTTGGATACCCTACCCCTACCCAATTTCATGTTCTCTCTCTCTCTCTCTCTCTCTCTCTCTCTCTCTCTCTCATACACACACACGCACCATATATATATAGTGCTTATAGAGTCAAACTTGTGTTCCCAAATGCCCTTTGGTGCGGGTTCATCCACTGGAATGACCCTTGGTGGGGTCAACCTACCAAGACTCACACCCTTAAATGAAACTGACTCTTCCCCTCCCAGCAGCCAGCGGTTGCTAGTAGTTCCTCATATAGATTTGGAGTTTCTTACCCATTTTCCCATGTCTATGCTGGGACATTTGTCTAGCTTGAGCTTATGTGGGGTTTTCAGTACGTAGTTTTGACAAGGTGTGGTAATATATCCAGATACTCACTTGAAAACATTCTGGAAGTGGAAAAATTATACAACGTATGGCTAGCTGATCCACAAGCACAACCTGTGATTTCACAAATACTAATGCATCTTGTATGAAAGAGTCAGGACAAGAGTCTTTCTTCTGTATATATGCAGGAAACAGCTGGCCATGGGGGCAAAAGAAGTCACACCTACAATTCCTCCTCAGGTTATGTACAGAGCAAAGACACTACTTGTAAAGTTTGACAATTGTTTATTGAACATTTATGACGTCTCTCAAAGATTTTCTTCCTACCAGCCAAAGGAATTTACAGCATTTCACCATAGACAAGACAGCAGAATAAATTAGAGAGTATGTTAAGAATGGAGTAAGCAGGAGGGAAGGAGTGAGAGGTGAGGGCCTGAGCTTGGAGAAATAGTGATGGCAAAAGTGTGGAGGCAGAGGTGAAGAAGAGGGGAATGGCGTCGCTAGAAGGCTGAACCCACAGTGTAGATGTGTTCAGCTGAGGCTGATGGGGTGGGGAGTCATAAAAATATGAGAAACCTGGGTGTGGGGTTCATCTCTGGTGTCTAAATAACACTGTTTTCCAGAAGGTTCCAGAGCTTTTTTCCCCCCACAGAAATTAGTACCAGGGAAGTGGAGTCATTCCACAATAGATTTGATCACGTGGGTTTTACACCTTGGACTGTTTTTGTAGGGGGACAGTAGGAAGCATTTGGTACATTGGGCTGAAAAATGCTGGAAGCAGAGTTAATGGGCCATTTTCATGGGTACTTGAACAGTTGAGGCTCAGCTCATGTGGTTTTAGAGAGGAACGAAGACTATCAGAAACAGAGGCTATTTATGGATGTTCTGACTAAGAATCTGTGTGTGGTGATCAGCTGGGGCTGAGGCAGCGGCTATGATGGTCAGAGTGTGCATCACTGAAGCGAAGCCTGTGGTTCATCAGGACGCTGGCTCTTCTGCCGTGGGGCCATCACTCAGCGGAGGGGAGGGGCTACCCAAGCCCTTTGGAGCCCAGAAGATTATTTCAGCTTTGTTTTGTTTGTGGTGATTTTACGCCCTGGCTTCTCCATTTTTGAATGTGTATTCTGTGTTGGCACATGTGCTGTGACTGGCTGTCGGAAGTTCCTGTCTTGACTTACCACGCTGATGGACTGTGACCTGGAGCTGTGAGTTGAACATGAGAAATGTGGATATGGGGTTTGGTTTTGGTCTCTGAATACCAGGACTCATGTGTTTTCTAAAGTGTTCCAGGAAGAATTCTCACAGGTTGTGTAGAGAGATAAAGAAAGACTGTGAAGATGGTATGATGGCATATGGCAACTGAGGGTGCCAGACATGAGGAGAGGAGACAGGTGAAAAAGCCATTTCAAAGCCAGCTGGAAGTGTGTGAGAGGCACAAGACAGAACCAAAGGCAGAATTCCCAGGCAGGGCTGATGTGGGGAGGGTGTCAGGAAAGGCTGGGAAGAGGGACCAGGAGGAAAGGCCAAACTTAAGTCACAGGTTTTCATAACAGCAAACACATCCAAAGAAACATGAACCACAGACTTGAAGACTATGGGACTGATCCATTTTCCAGTCCCGTGCCCAAGTCCACAGAGGCCACCTTGGCTGGAGGTTACTGAGAATTTCTAAGAATTTATCAGAGAGCTTCTAACTCTGGGATGATTTTTTAAAATATGTTCATGTTGTATGACTCATAGGAGGAAGAAGAAGATTTCAGTGGAGCCAAGGAGCCAAAAGTGGGATACAGAAAGGCATTCTGAGGTTGCATTAACAGAGTTTTGGAGTCCCACCTGAGGTGGGACACCACTATAAGGTGGTGTTAATATTATCATTATGTGCTCGGTTGTGGCTGGCTTGCCAAAGAAGTGCATGGATAAAGGGGAGTGATGGAAGAGGAACTGGGTAGAGATCTTTGAGGAGTGGTGCTGGCTACCACTAAATCTCCGTATGGTGGAGACAGCACCTGCCAGAGAACTTCTTGCTGATTTTTCCACTTTCATTGCAGATAGACCTGCTTCCGGAGGGTGCTTTGGATTTCAGGGTTCACTTTCCTTGGTGTCCCTTCCTGAATCACCTCTGTTTTTGCCATACGACGGGTTACCTGTGGCAAAAGTTGTAGTCAGCTTGGGGAATGGGGACGCTGATGTCAGGGGAGCATGGGAAGTGGGTGAAGAGAAGGGCAGGTGGGTACTCATGTCCCAAGACATTAATTGTCATCTTGTATCCTGTGGTTTGGATACTCTGTGTGTGTGTGTGTGTGTGTGTGTGTGTGTGTGTGTGTGTGTGTAGACAGATTGAGAGAGCTGATGTTGGAATGTCTTCCTCAGTAACTCTCCATCTCGTTTTTTTGTGGCAGAGTCTCTCACTGAACAAGCAGTTCACTGAGCTAGATAGACTGGCTGGCCAGCGAGCCCCATCCTCTTGTCTCTACTCCCCCAGCTCTGGGATTGCAGGTGTGTGCCATCACATTTGACTTTTTAATCAGATGCTGTGGATCTGAACTCAGGTCCTCACACTTGAATAGCAAGCACTTTACTGACTGAGCCATCTCTCTCCCCCTCTTCCCCTTGGTCTTTTGAGACTAACTCATATCATGTCACTCAAGCTGTCCTTGAACTCAAAGTCCTCCTGCTTCAGCTTCCCAAGTGCTGGGATTATAGGTGTGCATTCTCTCTCTCTCTCTCTCTCTCTCTCTCTCTCTCTCTCTCTCTCTGTATGTATACATGTATACTTATATTCTAATCCGAAGTAAACACATCACCATTAAAAGAAAAAGATTTGCCCAAACATTGGTTAAATAGCAAAGATTTTCTTACAGAAGTTGATCTGTATTTCATTTTAAACAATCTTATGTGGTTAAAGAGATGATTAAATGCTTGGCACACAAGCCTAAGGACTGGAATTCAGATCCTCAGATGTCATATAAATGTCCTGAATGGCACCCTGCCTTTAATTCTAGCCTTGGAAGGCAGAGATGGGGAATCTCCAGAGCAAGCTGACTAAGGAGACTAGTCATATTTGTGAACTCTGTTGATATGATTGAAAGACTGTCTAATGAATAAGGTAGAAGATCAGTTGAGGATGATTCTGGGCATCAACAACAGGCTTACACATACACACCTATGCACATGCAAACATGCATACACACATGTGAACACACGTGTGCCCACACACATGCAAATGTGGACACACATGTATGCACATATACACAAACACATGAAAAACAGCCTCACACCATGGGCTTGGTAGTCCCGATGTGTTTCATCATGGGAATTAAGACTGGGAAAATGCAGAAAGGCCTGGCAAGAGTCCCAGACACCCCATCTGGCTCACCTCTATCAGGAGTTCTGAGATGGACCCTTTCTTGTTTATGAACACATCCGTCAGGATCTGGATGAAGCTGGAGCCTTTCTGGTCGTGTCTGTAGGAGATGTACCCTGGGGATTTCAAAGCACTGAGTTTTGAGAAGTCTTCAGAGACTGGAGGGGACTCGGAGGAGGGTCCTTTCCTGGAGGAGGGGGTCAGGGGTCAGGGAGAGGGGGAAAAGTAGAGTCTACCCTAGGCCAGCTGGGAGATCGTACCCTCAACTGTGGAGTAGATGTGGAGGGTGTCCGTGTATGTTGGGATGGTTTGGAGGTCATCCTTTGTGATCATGGCAACCTCATCCCCACCTATTGTTTCACCGAGGTCTCGGTGTTCTAAAACCAAAGAGAGGTGAAGGAAAAGTCAGGGAGGAAGATGGGACAAAAAGATCTGGTGTTACACCCGGGTTGGCAGGGGCTATGGGTCTGAGATTGGACTGGATTTTAAAAAAACAGACTTGGGGCTGGAGAGACGGCTCAGTATATTAAGAGTGCTCACTGCTCTTTCAGAGACCTGGAATTTAGTTCCTAGCACCCATGTGGATTGGTTCACAGTCACTTGTAACTCCAGCTTCAGGGGATCTGGTCCCTCTTCTGGCCTCTGTGGGCATTGTACTCACATGCGCATACACACAGACAGACAGACAGACAGACAGAAACACACACACACACACAACTAAAAAGAAAATGAATCTTTAAAAATAGAACATGAGTAGGGTGGTTGGAGAGATGGCTCAGTGGCTAAGAGCATGTACTGCTCATCCCGAGGACCCCAGGTCAGTTCCCAGCACCCATGTCAGGCAGTCACAATGTCTGTAAGTCCGGTTCCAGAAGGATCTGACACCTCTGGCCTCTGTGGGCACCTGCATTCATGTTTACATACTCATACACAGACACATACTCATACACATAATAAAAAATAATGAAAAATCTTTTTAAAATAGATCATGAACTTAGCTGGGAAGGTGACACGTGTTTGTAATCTCAGCACTTGGGAAATGGAGTCAGGAAGGTCATGAGCTTGAGACCAGTCTGGACTACATAGCGAGACCCTGTATCAACCTTCTCCCTGCCCTCTCACCACCCCCTCCCCACCAACAAAGATGTAGCTTAGTATTCCTGGTTCCTGGCCCTGTTCCTACCTCCTCTGCAGGCCTGGATAATGTACACTTTTGGCTTGCCTCTCAGGGCCCGGCAGTTCTTGTTGTTCAAGATCTCGAAGAGGTCCTCCAGCTTGACCATCTGCTCATCCTCTCCTTTGAGGAGGCCTTCCTCACCGTGTGCCATGAGCACCACAAAGGCACAGCTGACTGGCTCTTCCCAGTTCTCTATGACCTGTTGGAACTTTTCCAATTCTTCCAGGAATTGCTTAGAGGGAAAGGAGACCAGACTCACACAAGTGCCCAAGAGCCCGCCCACATGGTTCAGCCCCTCCCCTCCCTACCTGGAGTTGACAACTTAATACCTGGGCAGTGGGATCTGTCTTCATGGTACTTTCAAATCTCAGCTGGTGGAACATGCGTTTCAGGGCATCCATATCTGCCCCGGAACCCTCTCGGGCTTTGGTGACACACAGGGTCAGGGCCAGGCGGGCACCTGACATATCATACACCTCCTAGGGCCAAGAGGTTGAAAAGGGAGGAAAGCACGAGGCAATGGGAGACGCAGTCCAATGAGGCTAGCGTTAGAGTTGCCAGGTAAAACACAGGTGTCCGTGACACTCAAATCTAACTTCAAAGTTTGTTTTTGTGGTACTGGAATTGAACCCAGGGCCTTGTCCATGCTAGATCAGTGTTATACCACTGAGCCATATCCCCACCCCAGTCTTCAAATTTCAAAAATGAAAACAAACAAAAAAACCCAACAACATCAAAACCACAAAAAAGCATGGAGTCATCCACTAGAACATGCGAAACCTACAGGTGGGCTCACACTCATGCGCATGGTGGGGTGCTCAGTAGGGTGACAGATATTGCAGCAGGTTACCCTCACATCCTCAGAGCTCTCTGGAAGGATAGGGGAGAGTCCAGCCCATCAGATGTGACCACTGGCAGTGACCTTCAACGGCCACACACACTCATTTATATCTGGTAACTGAGGCTCTGATAAAAGCACCAACTTGCCCAAAGGTCTTGCTAAGGCAGACCTAGACTTGAGGCTGCGTTGCTAAAACTTGGGAAATAAAAATAGGGGTTACGCAGGTGAATCAGAATTCCAAGTACATCCCATACAATATTTGGGATATATTTGTGCTAAATGCTTATTTGTTTGGGGAAGGAATTTTTTTGTTCATTTATTTATTTTTTTTATTCTTTGAGCATTTCATACACAAGTATAATGAAATATGATAATACCTACCCTCTAGTTCCTCCCTCCAACTATCTGACACCCTCTTCTGGCTCTGTGGGCACTGGATGCACATGATGTATAAACATACAAAACACTCATACATATAAAATTAAAAAAGAACTTAGTTTTTATTTTTTTGATTCATTTATTTTTAATTTATGTGTATGAGTGTTTTGCCTACATGTAAGTGCACTTGTGTCATCCAGTCCCTCAGAAGCCAGAAGAGGGTGTTGGATTTCCTGGAACTGGAGTTACCAATAGTTTTTAGCTGTCATGTGATTGCTGAGAACCAAATCCAGGTTCTTTATAAGAGCAGTCAGTGCCCTTAACCAACGAGCTATCTCTGTAGCCCCAAGAACTTGGTCTTTAGAGACAGACTAGCTGGATTCATTCCCTCCTTTTTCAATTTGGATTCCATCTCTGAGTCTATTTATTGTTATTGGAAGATCACAAAATAGTTCTGAGTCCAAGTTATGAGTTTTACATCCTCTATTCTTTCTGAAACATTAAACTCCTCACTCCCTTCCTGCCTCCCCATCTCCCTTTCACTCAAACTGTCCCCTCACCCACCTCCTGCAAGGGCTGAGGACCACTCATCTTTCCTTCAATTCCGAGTCTGGCTGTCTTTGCACCCTTGTCTTGTCCTTGGGGTCAAGAGAAGACAAGTCGAAGCTCTCCAACGAAGGCTGAGAGGATCCAGGCGTCAGATCAGTTTGTCCACCCTGGATATTTTAGAATGAATAGGAGACTTGCTACATAGTTAGACCTGGGCAAGAGATGGCAGTCCCTGGAGTATGTTCTCTCTAGAGTAACAACTTGGTGGAGTCTTTCATTTGTGGTATTATTCTAGGCCTACCAAAATGGCTTCTCTCTAGAACTGCCTCATCTCTCCTCCAGAACATTCACCTGCCTGTGATGGACCAGACTCCTCTTCTAGACTGATGATCAGGGTAAATACTGTCTTCTCTTCTACCAGGGTAACTGGCTGAGGAGGGTTCAGGGTAAGCCTTAAAATAAGAATTTCATCAAAGTGAGTGCTGCTTTGAACTGATAGGTCTCTAATCTGAAGAGGTCAATCTATCTCCTTCTCTGCCTGGAAACTGAGCATCTGTCAGAATTCTCCATCCTTCTCTCTGAGTCCTGTCCTACATAAAGGATGAACTGAAGGACTTCTGGCATACCCTCAACCTTTTTTCCAAACTTGTATATCAGACTGGAAGACTTCTTATGATTGGGGTTGCATAATGTCTGCTATGCCTTCTCTCATTGTACATCCATCTACCAATTCACCCACCCACACATCTGTCCACTCATCCATCTATTCATTCATACAGTCACCCATCTACCCATTACTTATCATGTGTCCACTCATCTATTCATCCATGTACTTAAAAAAATGTTTTATTATTTTTATTTTATGTGTATGTGTGTATTGCCTGCATGTAGGTAAGTGCGCCCATGTCTTGCAATGCCCACGGAGGTCAGAAGAGGCTATCAGGTCCCCTGGGACTGGAGTTACAGACAGTTGTTAGCTGCCATGTGGGTGCTGGGATTTGAACCCAGATCTTCTGCAAGAACAACCAGTGTTCTCAACTGCTGAGCCACCTCTCCAGCCCCCCTCCATGTATTTTTCTATCCATTCACCTGCTCATCAGTCACCCACCTGTCACCCATCACCCACCCACCCACCCATCCATCCATCTATCCATTCATCCATCCATTTGTCTGTGCATCAACTTACCCACCAACTATCCATCATCTGTCCATCCATCCATCCATCCGTCCATCCATCCATCTATCCGTCCATCCATCCATCCTCTACCTATACATCTAATGATCCCCTCATTCACTGATCAAACACAGGTTTTTTGAGGTTTATTATGTGTTAAGCACTGGCACTATATTATACAAAATAGACATTCTCCTTGCCCTTATGTAGCTCTATTTATGACAGAAATAAAATCTCTCTGTATCTCCCTCCCTCCCTAAGTATGTATGTATGTATGTGTGTATGTATGTATGTATGTATGTATCTATATCTATCTATCTATCTATCTATCTATCTATGGATCTATTTATCTATCTATCTATCTATCTATCTATCTATCTATGTATGTATCTATCTATCTATCTATCTGTC